GTGGGTTTGAACCACCAGCCTTCTGGTTAACAGTCAAATGCCTTAGGCACTACTCCAGCAGAGCTCCCGAGTATGTGAGGCTAACGTGATCCCAGAGGGAAGGAGATCCCAGGCACAGAGAACTCTGGAAGGAGACAGCTCTGATGGGTGGCATATCTGTTCCTTAGGGCCAGACCCAGGGCAGTCAAGTGGTCAAAGAGCGGCCTGGCTGAGCTGAAGGAACTGCACTTAAGCCGTGGCCCAGGCAGCTTCCTAGAGGAACAGCCTCTGGAGGCGAGGTAGGCAGCATTGCAGAAAGCCTTGTTGGGAAGTGTAGTTAGGATACTGCTGGGGCCCCACCCCAGCCTCAGAACTGTTTCTTTCTGAGCAGAGACACACATTTTTTGGCTTTGGCCCTACTAATCTCCCAACCCCCACTTTACCCTGAACAGCCTACAGGAACCCATTGCCATCCTGGGGACCACCCCTATCAGAATTACATCAGCAACGGCTGGTGTAATCAAACCCCATTTGTCAGTGTGAATTCTTAGCAGATTAACTTGTCAGATTCACAGAGAAACCGTCACCAAATGTTTATGTGTAAACGATGTTGAATTTTAAAATCATGTGGATTATGGCGGATGGGGCCTGACAAGATGACAGTCTCTGGTTTCTAACAAAGTGAAGTTACCAGTGTCAAAACAGAGGATGTTTATTGTTAAAAACGTCTCAAAGTATCCACAGAAACCCCTGCAGACCCCTGCCAGCAATACCGGGCCTTGGTTGGCTGACCTACGGCCTAGGAATCACGTAGTTTGAGTCCCAGGGCAGGGCTGGTGAAGCTGCATACAGAGTCAGGCAGCCAGCTGGGAGCTCCACATAGCAGCGCACCCCACCACACCCCACCCCCTGCTCACACCCCTGAGGGGTAGGGCCAGGCAGTTGAGTGGCCTCAGAGCATCCTCTTTACTCATGGCCTCCTTTCTCTCCTTGTCTGCCCACCACAGCTCCTTGCCTCTCCCCACTATACGCACCTTCTACCTCCACACACACACACACACACACACACACACACATACACACCTCTCACCACCATCAACACCAAGAGCCTGCCCACCCAAAGCTGACAGCCAGTTCTCAGCCTCCCTGCCTAGAGCTGGCACGCCTGAAACTGCTTGGGGCAGACAGGGATATTTGCCATCCCCCAGCCCCTCCTGCCCAGCAGCCAGTGTGCACCACAGGACACTTCCTGTGCCTCACTGTCGGCTGGACCTCTGTCAGGAAGCAGCCACCCTGGGGCTAAGGAGTGGGCCTGTCACCTGAGAGAGATTGTCGGGGGTGGGATTGTCACTTGTGTGAGCACTTGGCCCCGATTTAATTCTCCCAAATACAGCAAAAGGTTAGAGAACTAGAGGAAGAAGGTAGGGGAAGAGATCATTCTAAAAAAGTCATCTAAAAAAAGATTGAAGGATATCTGTCCACGCCGATACAGAGAGATTTTTGAGATACATAGCTTGAATAACGTACGCGTAGGGAGAAAAAGTTTATCTATTACAAGTATACATGCTCGCAGATGTGCATGAAGGAATCTGGAAGGCTGCAGATCTGGGAACAAGACAGAGACGGGTGAAGGGAGAGTTCGGGGAGGTTGATCCCGACTTTACCTCTCTTTACTCTTCTGTGCTGTGAGAGATTTTCACCATATACGTGGACTACTTTCATTGAATAGAGAAAATCATTTGGCCCTGGCCTCAGGACCGCCTTGGCACAGCTGCTCTGTGCCTTCCCCACCTCTCCTCAGAGCTGTTTGTAGTTGACCCCTGCCCTCACATCTGAGAGCCGCAGATACATCCTCTGTCCCACCTTTAGTTTCCTCCCTTTTGGTACCTAAAGCGCAGACCTGCTAACCCTGGATGGAGAGAGTACACAAAAAGGGGAGTGTGTGAGTCCGTGAGCAGCCACACAGTCAGAAGGAATGGAAGGGAAAGGGCCACTTCTGCTCCCTCGGTTCAGAGTCCCCAGAGGCAGACCTGCTGAACCAGGTAGGCTTAGGCAGCAGTTGGAGCAGAAGCCCAGCCTCGGCCCCACACGGCCCTCTCTAAGCCAGTAAAGGAGGGCACCCTAGGCTGGAAGTTTGGGTGAGATGAAGGACTTGTGGAAGGAGGAAATGACTGGCCCTGACCCCTCGGTCACCAGGACCACATTCCCGTGCAGGAGAAGAGACAGCCAGTGCCTGTGCCCTCACTGAAGTCCTTCTGCTCTCTTGTACCAACAGAGCAGCCAATCCGACTACTGCGGGAAGTAGTACTGTTGACGGATGACCGGAACCTTCGTGTGAAGGCGCTGACAAGAAATGTGCCTGTGCGAGACATCCCAGCCTTTCTCACATGGGCCCAGGTGGGCTGAGGAGCCACTCCAGGGCTCGCCCCCATGGAACCATTCCTGAAAGGCCAACAGGCGCCCAGTGTAGCACGGAAGATGCCCACATGCCTGAGCCACCAATCCACCCAGACAATAAACCATCCTCTTCCAACCCACGCTGTGGCCGTGCTGTGGCGGAGCTGCTCCTCACAGAGCCCCTCCCAAGGGTCAGGTGGAAGCTGCTGGGACCCTCCTGGGCTGCCAAGATTTAGCAGGGAGGTGGCTGGCTACAGTGACAGCAGGTGGGCAAGCCAGATAGGCCACCGTGCTCTCAGCCCTTTCCCTCCCCCTGTATAATTCAAGGGCTGGGGGGAGGCCTTCCTGCCTCAGAGACGGCTACTTTAGGGGGAGATGGGGCAGAGGATTGAGAGTTTCCATCAGATGCAGGTCCCATTAATCTTCAGAACCCACATCCACAATCTATGCCCAAGAGGCTTTGGTTGTGCAATGAAAGGAGTACCCAGGGTGTCTCTCCGTCTCCCTGGGGCCAGGATTCCCCCATGGACCCACGCTGGGTTCTGGACACCACGTCCCCCCATCCCTCACACATTCATCCTGCCCTCCTCTTGCTGCCTTTACTGTTGTGGGTCAGTTGTACTTTGCTGCTTGTTTTCTCCTTGGATGCTCATGGATCTAGACCATCGCAGGCCCGTGCTTCCCGGGTCTTCACCTGCCTCCTCTCTACTCTTGCCTTTTTGCTGTAGTTTTTCACTTTCCTCAGTCTTCTCAGTTCTTCCCTCTCCTCTTCTTGTCCTTCCTCCCTGCCTCCTGAATCATCCTCACCTCCATCTTTATCTAGTTGATCCCCTTTCACCCTCCAGATCCCCTCAATTTCCACACCTCAGTTCCTTGTCTTGCTAGTCTTACTCTGAATCTTCCTCCTCTAGTACCCACAGCAGGAACCTAATAAAGGCTTCCTCCCCAGTCCTTCCTTCCCAGGCCCATGCACTCAGAAACTTCCACACTTCCACAGCCCAGCCTGAGACAGTGGGCCAGTGCCTGGGAGGAGCAGTGTCTAGCCTGGCGTTTCCACCCTTTTCTATCTTTGCCCTCTTGACTTTCCAGAAGAATTCATACAGAGTTCTCTGGCCTTTGTGTCTTCAGTTGCCCATTTAGCTGGCACCCATGTTCAGAGTCTCACTCGGGAGACTTTCCACTGCTAATAAGTTCTTCCAACCCAGGGGCAGGGATAAAGGGGTTTTGAGGAGGAGCCAGGAGGAAACTTTGCAGGGGCCGGTGGGAGAAACCCCCAGGGCCCATTGTCTATACAGCTGGCCCAGAGCCTTGGAGCAAGGTGTGCCCTCCTGCGGGCCCAAGATCATGCCAGAAGGGGCAGGACTGTTTTAAGAAAGCCAAGGCCAACAGTTTGGGGGTACAATCCCCCAGAAGAATGGACTCTTTGAGGTATCTGCCTCTCCTTTGAGTTCTCCCCTAGATGAAGGCCAATGACTGGGTGGGTGGGAGATCCATCTCTCCTTTCTGTCCTGTTTGCATCACTCGTTTTGTTTCCTTAATAAATTTTTAGTCGTGAAACATATCTGACCTCTTGCTGATCTGTCCCTGGGCTGGGAAGGGGAAGAAGGTCCAAGCCTCTGCACCTGTGTGAGGGCAGCCCATTCTGGGCCCCTCCACCCACCCTGGTGTTGCCCACCCAGGTACTTGTGCAAAAGCAGGAGAGAGCCACAGAGTTCGTGGTCCTTGGTTACTGCTTTATTGCTGTTTGGTTCGAGTATAGAAAATGGAAGTGGCTCTAGAAGAGCCTGTGTACAAGGTAGAAAATATACAAACCCAAAGGAGGGAGAGGAGAAGGGAGCTAAAGAGACCTCGTTCCAGCCCAGCCCAGCCTGGGCTCGGGATGGGGGGGGGCCAGGGGCCACCCGGGGTGCATGCAATAAATATGGTCCGGGCCCCAGGGAAAAGGGGACACCATGGAAGCGGGAGACCGGGTACATTGGGGCTGTCTCAGCCCTCTTGACTCCAGAACTCCCTGCCCTTGGTGGTCAGGGAAGGGGAGGTTTGGCCCTGGGGCTAGTGCCACTTGTGCAAAATGAGGAACTTCACATTATCAGTCCCGGGGCAGGTGGGGACAGGGCGGGGGGCCCTCCGGCCGGCTCAGTCCCCTCCCCGCTCCCCAACTCTGCCCGACGCTCCGACCCCAGCGGGAAGATTCACAGTGAGAATGGGTGTGGTCGCAAGGGCCGGAGGTAGGGCTGGGAGCGCCCCAACAGTGACACCACTCCCCCCAAGAGCAGCACGGAGCTGGGGGGAGGGGGCCAACGAGCCGCAGGAAGAGGCGGTGAGGGACCGGGGGTCTCCTTTGGTCAAAGCTGATATCAAAAATATAAATCTCCCTCCCCCCATCCCACTCCCGTCCCGGGGTCTTTCCCCCACCCCCATCCCCGGGCTAAGGTAAGGCACAAAGCAGTGAGGCCAGGTGAGGCCGCAAAGAGGTGGGGCCGCCGCCTCCGCGGGCGACACTGACACTGATAGACAGCTGTCTGGGGCACAGGGTGCCTGCTCGCTGCCGCCGCCGCCGCCGCTCCCTGGGGACGCCGACCGGGCCAAGCGACAACGACGCGGGCCGGCCAGCGCAGGGCACTCTAGGTGGGAGAGAAACGGTCGATGGTCCGGCCGTCGGGTCCGCCAGCCAGGTGCGCGCCCTGACTGAGCACCTCAGCCGCCTTATCCGGGCTGAGACCCAGCTCCGCGGTGAACTTGGCCAGCGGGTAGAGGCTCTCGAGCGCCACCTTGGGGTCGTGCAGGAAGTGCGTGGTCTGCGCGAGCAGCTCGGCCGCAGCCGCCTTGTCCTGCTGCTTCAGGCTCAGCTGTTCAGCCGTGAGGCGGGCCACAGCAAAGACGCCCTCTGGAAAGTCGAGCTTGCCCTTACCATCGGGGCCGGGGACGCCGGGCAGACCCCCCAGGCCCGCCAGCGCCCCGGCTGCGCCCGCTGCTCCGCCCACAGCGTGCATCTTCATGTGGCTGATGAGGTTGCGTTGCTGCGCGAACTTGCCGCCGCACACCTGGCACTCGTAGGGCTTCTCGCCCGAGTGGATGCGCATGTGCTCAGTGAGGCGGTACTGCCGGGTGAAGCGCATGCCGCAGGCGTCGCACGCGAAGGGCTTGAGGCCCAGGTGGCTGCGCATGTGGCGCGTCATGGTCCCGCGCTGCGTGAACTTCTTCCCGCAGATAGTGCACGGATAGGGCCGGGTCAGCCAGTGTGTCTTCTCGTGCTGCCGCAGCGTGGCCGGATCCTTATAGCTCTTGTCGCACGACGCGCAGCGGTAGGGCCGCAGCAGCTCGCCCAGACTCCCCGGAGTCCCAGCGACCTTGTCCCCGCCGCCGCCAAAAGGGGGCCCCAGGCCAGCAGCCCCGGCAGCCACCTCAGCCGCCTCGGCCCGGCCGTACAGCGCCTCCTCCTCCTCCACGTGCGCCTCCACGTGCGCGTTGAGCTGCTCGGAGCTGGGGAAGCCCTTGCCGCACGGGATGCACACATACAGGTTGTCACCGAAGCTCTCCGGCTCGCCGTACGCCAGGTGCGGGCACGGGTAGCCCTCCAGGTGGCCGCCGGGTGGGCTGGGGTCCTCGCTGCTGCCCGTCTCCTCGCTGCTGCTCTTGTAGTCGTCGCCGTCGCCTCCTGCGCCCGGCCCGTCCAGGCTTCCGGGATAGCGCGGCGGCGGCGCCAAGCCGAGCGGGGGACCCCCGGGCGAGACGGCTGCGTCCCCGCCGCGCTCCTCGCAGCGCTCGCCTGGCGAGCCCCGTTCTCGGACCAGTTCGTCGCCGTAGCTGCCCAGGCCCGGCTCGTGCTTCATCCAGCGATAGAGGAGGCTGGGGCCGTCGGGGCGGCCGGGAGGGGGCTCGGGTCCCGGGCTGCTGCTGCCGCCACGGAAAGGGTCCGGAGGAGGTGCGGCCTCCTCCAGCTTCTGGAAGGGCAGCGGCGGCAACGGCGGCAGGGTGAGAGGCGGCTCCTTGTAGACGGCAGGGCCAGCGCCGGGAGGGCTGTCTGAGCGTGGGGGCAGCTCGCGCTCGCCGGGAGGCCGCTCGGGGACAGCGGAGCCTGGAGGACTCTTCTTGGACAGGTCCAGGCCGCAGAGTGGGGAGCAGCGACGCTCCGGGACACAGAGCGCAGCTGCAGGGCCGGGGCCCGAGGCGTAGAGCTCTGCGCAGTGCGTGTTCACCGCGACCTCCGGGCCTGACTGCGGCTCAGCGGCGGGGGGCGGCGGGGGCCCGGCGGGGGACGAGTAGCAAGTCTGGATGACTGGCGTGGCGGCACGCAGGCCCCGGCCCGGCCGCCCGTAGGGCGCGTAGCCGCCGCCGCCGCCGCCGCCGCCCCGCAGGTGGCAGTACTTGCCGTGGCGTTTGAGGCGCTTCTTGCACAGTGCCACGAGGTCAGGGATCTGCAGGTAGCTGGCAGCAGCCAGCACTGCTCCCAGGCTCGGCTCGGTCCCCGGAGCCACGGCCGCCGCCGCCTCCTCGCCATCCGCCAGGCGGCCGGTGTAGATGAAGTCCAGCACCAAGCGGAACACGGCAGGGCTCACCATGTCATGGTCCAGGTTGAGCAGGTTGTCGTGCACCACCAGGGACTTGAGGTAGGCGCTGCTGGCCGCCAGCACGTTCTTGTGCGCGCGGAAGAGGGCGTTCTGCACAACGATGATCACGTCGCACAAGAAGCCCTTGGTGCGCTGGTTGTTGAGCTGCAATAGCAGCTGCCTCGAGTGGCCCGGCGCCTCCATGGTGTCCAGCATCGTCTGCCCAGCACAGTCTCCTGCAGGGACACACACCAGCCGGGTCAGAGCCGTGCTGCGCCCTCGCCGCCTCTACCCGGCCCGGGTAGAGATTCTGCCCTCCACTTCCCCTTCCCCTCAGCTGGGCAGGGGCATCGGACGCTGCGCCTGGGCACTGATGGAGGAGCAGCGGCCTCTGGGAGTGGGAGCCAGGGCCGGCAGGCCAAACCAGAAGAAGGAGTTGCTACCGGTTGAGAGAAGGCCAGACCAGCCGGTGCGCCCCGGGGCACAGACGCCACTGGACACACGAACTGGGTGCTGGGGGCTTCCGAGGAGAAAACTGTTGGGGGACGAAGTGACCCTTTCGCAGACAGTTACCCAGTTTGAAGAAAATGTCCGCTTCAGGAAAAGTCATTCAGGGCCGAGAAGTTTGCCCAAGTGAGGAGAAAGGGGAGCCGAATAGCAAGCGTCTCCCGCCTCGGGAGAAGTTGCCCCAGTTGGGGGAAGTGATCCTGAGGAGGGGAGCGCGCTGCCCGCCGTGGCGCCGCCCTGACCCGGGGCTGTCAGGCCCTCGGATGGGCCCGGGCAGCGGCCGGGCGCGGGGAGCGGAGGCAGCGGCTGCCGTGGCGGGCAGAGCGCGAAGGCCGGGCCCCGGCGCGGGGAGGGCGTTATATCGGGGCAGGAGGCTGAGGCAGGAAGCAGGTGGGGGGGGAGGGGGGAGCCACGCAGCTCCCAGGGGAGGGAGGGGGCAGCGCCCCGGGCGGGCACAGCGCAGCAGCCGGCTGCGGCCCTGACCCCGGCCTGCGCCCCACCCGCATCCTGGCCCTGGCCTCGGCCTCGGCTCTGCATCGCGGGCCCGGCGCCTCCCTCCCTAGCTCCCCTTGGCCTCTTCTCCCCGGGAACTCCACCGCCCCAAACTTGGGGAAAAGTTTCCCAACTTCAGACAGGGCGGGAGGAGCCCGCCAGCCCCAGTCCCTCCGCTCCCGGCTTTTCCTTTCGGGCCCCCAATTCCAGCAGCCGCCTTGGCCGCGGCGGCCCGAGCCCAGCCCGGGAGCTCTTCTGCCTGCTCCCCGCCTGGCCCGCAGGGCCTAGCGGCCCGTTACCTGCGGTCGCAGCCCAGCCGGGCTTCCCTCCCTGCGGCGGTGGCAGCTCCTCGCTGGCGCCCCACCCGCCCCGCTGCCAGGCGCCGAGCTGTGCCAGGGCAGCGCCCCTGCCAGCCCCGCCCGCCAGCTCCCCTTCCCTTTCCCTCGCCTCTCCAGTCCATGTGCGGGCAGAGCCCGTCCGGGGCCGCTGACCCCGCCGTGAACCCGGCGCGGAGTAGCGACCCGGCAGTCCCGAGTCCTCTCGGGGCGACATCTGGAGCCCTGAACGCCAGCCGCGATAGGGCGCCCGCACCGGAGGATGCGCCCCGAGGCGGCCAGCGCATGGGGACCAAGCTGTCCCGGGTCCCCTGTCCCGCCCGGACCCCAGCCCGAGGACCTACCTGGGGGGCATGTCTGAAGCCCCGGGCCCGGCTGCCGGCGAATCCAGGGGGGGACGTG